ATTCTGTGTATCACAAAAAAGCAGGATGGTCCTCCCAAGCAAACATAATAGAGCAGCATCGTTTATTTACAAGGTTTTTGCCTTAAGCCCCACGCCCCCGGTACCGGGGGAAAAAGGAGGAGATCACGTTAATCACGGGGGGAGAAAGACATGTGTGGTATCCACAGAAACCTCTGAATCTCAGCTAAAATGTCTTAAAAACAATTTCTACAACCACCAAACACACCCAAAACAAGCCACGATTAAACAAGCAGTCACATAAATGTGCAGAAGGCCGCTGAACAAAAAAAGCCGAACAAGAAATTTGCTGCACCAAAAATTGGTCCACCCCAAGGATCGGGTCCCCCGACACAAACAGAGTAACATAGTTTACACCAGTGGTCCCCAATCCCCGGGCCTCGGACTGGTACTGGTCCATAAGTTGTTTGGTACCGGGCCGCGAGAGTTGAGGCTCAGGTGTGAAATGTATAGTTTTCAGGGTTTTTAGCGGTTTTCAGCGTTATTTTGTTATCGTTTTTATCGTTAATTTGGTTTTCCTGGGACTTTTCACGTGTGTTATGAATAAGTCTTCTTTTTTTCGGTACCGGTACTAGTTTTATTTTGTTGTATTTATCCGCGACACCTTAAAGGCCGGTCCGTGGCGCAAAAAAGGTTGGTGACCGCTCGTGTACACTGTTAAGTGTCAGGAGGATTGCCAGGATTTATACATGGGGGAAACCAAACAACCTCTGGCGAAGCGGATGGCACAACACAGCAGAGCCACCTCATCAGGCCAGGACTCTGCAGTCTATTTACACCTACAGGCCAGTGGACACTCTTTCAATGATGAGGATGTAACATCCTGGACAGGGAGGAACGCTGGTTTGAGCGCGGAGTCAAGGACGCCATTTACGTGAAAAGGGAAAGACCATCTCTGAATTGAGGAGGGGGCCTAAGGGTCCATCTGTCACCATCTTAATGCTGTGATTGCAGCCATTCCCCAACTCTCTTTGAATGGTACTCATGGCCATTGATCGGTGGTTGTTGATCAATGGTCATGAGAATTTGCATATTAATGATTAAGGAACTGACCTCCCAGCCCATTGTTCCTTCAGTGGGCTGGTTTCAGTCATTATGCAAATGTCCTGTTTATAAGATTGAAACCTGCAGCCAGCTGAGACTGAAGAAGTCACCTGGATGAGTGATGAAACATTTCTCCCAGAAAACGCTACGTCCAGATGAACAGAATCAACTTTTGGAGACAAACAAGAAATTCTTCAGACTTCATGTAACTGGCTAAAGACAGGCTGGTTTGCTTCCAGAGCTATTACTGACTCCAAACACCAAGTTTCATCATGTTCAGACCAAAATTCACTGAATGAGCCGCAAAAATAGACCCCAAAACACATAGCAGCGCAAATGTGCTGAGACAGAAATTGACTTACTGTACCGATATCCTCCGTTATTTTCGCTGGTAGCCAGTAGCCACGTGATTATCAGCAGTTACCACGCCTACCTAGCTGCATGGGAGCCGTTTTCCGTCAACAACCTCGATTGTAGACCCACCTATAGACACGTGACTGGACAGACGTCACATGCAGTAAATTTGGGCCCACGTGGGTTTTGGCATTGCAACGTCTGATTAGTTGAAGTGACGTGAACGTGGCATCGTTACTGTGATCCTATTGGCTCAAACGATTAAAAAGAAGTGTCAATCATGTAAATTGACCAAAAGAAACCAAAGTTACAGCCCCTCAGAGAATTAAACGCTCCATGCGCATGGCAGAAGAGGGCCAATACCATGTAAATGTGTGGTTAAGTCTTCAAAAATGTATATATATTGTTTTTTAAAAAAAAGCTTTTTTAGGCCTGTTAATAAAATTAATTAATTTCTGCTCTTTAAGACCTAAAAAATTCAACTGGCATGGTGTCCCATTGTGTGCCAAAATTGGACATTCATTGTTTTCAGCTAGAAAATAAACTAAATAGTGTACATGGCATTAGTAATACAACTATGGTGGCCATTTATATCAGTTCTTCCAATTTATAAGTCAAGAGGAGAACATCAAACTGTCTTTGCACAACTACTTACAAAGATATTTCCCTTCCCACTGTTTAAATAAAACCCCTTAATTCTGAATAATTCTTGTCTTTCTTTATTTCTCTTCTCATTTCCTGTGCCATACTTTCTGTTTCCTGTTGAAAACAAAGCAAATCTTAATCTCAATGAGATTACCAATCTGATTTAAGCTAATAAAAGAACAACGAGTGTGCAAAAACCCTGGAACAAGCATCCACCTCTACGCAACAACTGTCTTCCGTGTCCAGCCCGTTTAATCCACAGCGGGGAGCGGATCACTCCCTCTTAATCCAATCAACATCGACTCTCACATGAGTAGATAAGGTGGGGAGAGGTAACCGCTGTGTGCTAGCCGAGAGCCAAGGAATGTCACATTTTTACCTTGCAACAGGAGAAATGCATCACGTGATTTGGCGAGGATGGGATTTTTGTACATTTTGAACTTTTATAAAACATCTTAAAAAAGATCTGGAACATATCCGGATTATTGGAAGGAAAATTAGTCTAAATCTAAAATGAAATCTACATCCACCCTCTCTCTAAAGGTGTAAAAGCTTTAATCCATGCCCTTTCCACTCACACGCGTGCACCACTGCCAAGACACCAACAGCGTCTTCTGATGGCACAGTGTGACATCAATCAGCAGATACACGACCGCGCAGGAGAGCGCGGGCACGTTGATTTGAAACCATAACTGCCTAATGAGCGTCAGAAGAGTGATCGTGTGACAAAAGGCTGCAAAGATATTCAGAGTGAAACGGTGAAAGTTAACAGACCGAGGCTTCAAAGTGATAATCAGACATGCAAATAAGAATCACACCGACAACACGCAGCTCAACACGGCCAGGACAGATCTCTGCAGCATCCATCACGAAATGAACCCGCTCCTTTGTGCAAGAGTTGAAATGCAAAATAAGCAAAAACAGCAAACATGTAAAAACACAGTTCGCCTACCCATGGTTTCAGCTGTTGTGGAAGCTGGTCCGGACACTGTAAGAGACTGTAAGGTGATGTCCACAGGTTGTCTGGAGAGGGGAGGGGGGAGGCAGAATGAAAACAACTGCACGTCCCGTTCTGGAATCAGAGGGAGGAGGAGGAGGGGGGGGTGACGTCACCCCGGGGTTAGAAATGGATAAGGCTTCATTAATCCAAACGCACAAGACAAGTGTCCTGGTCAGTTCTTCACCTAATTATAAGGCAGACGTCCACTTTAACAAAGCGCAGCCCAGCTTTGACTCATTTAAATCTGTTTTACATTTGTTTGTTCGCTCATTGAATATTTATGTATGTGTTTTTTCTTTTTAAATAGCTTATTATTTATTTATTTATTTATTCACTGGCAATAAATAAATAAATAATTCATGAAAATATTTCTTTATTTTTTGCTCATAATATGATTATATCATCACATCATCATGTCATTTACTTTTCCTGTGACGCCCATAATCACTGACTCATGAGTCATAATAACAATTTTGAATATACAACTTATATGAAAGATATTTACATTTGTTCAATATTTATTTGTCAATAAAAATAGTATATTTTAACATGAGCTTGTTTTTATTTATGGTTTTCATTTTTAATTGAATAATAATTGAAAATAATTGAAAAGATTTAATTACCCGATGTTCTCTAATGTGTTCCTGTGACTTTCATAATCATAATGAATTGCAGACAACAAACATGTTATATTGTTGTATAACATGTTTTTTAAATCATGTATCTATTTACTGATAAATGTGAATTTTAAAATTAATTTGCATTTATTTACTCTATTTACTGGCTAATTAGTTGGTTAAAACAACAAGTGTAGGTCATTCCGATGTGTCACCACTTTACAAAGACCTGGACGAAGAACCAAACCTTCATCTTTAGGAAATTGGTTACGAGGTTTAGAAGCAACGCAACCCCAACCAAGATACAAGCAACTGCTCCAAAACCAGTACCTTTATGCTCAAATAAAATCTGCAGTTGCCCACGTAGACGAGCCAAACACCATCTGGAGAAAAGTTTTATAGTTGAGGTGTTTGGCCACAGTTTGCAGTAGTAAAGGTGAAGCTTTCCAACCTAAGAACAGTGTATCAGCTGTCATCATGCTCTGGGGCTGTATTGCTGCTACTGGTACTTCTTTAGCACGAAGTCTACCTCCATATTCTCCAACTTCACCTTAAATCAACAGTTAGATGGTTTCAAATGTGGGCACAGTTTGGTGTTCCAACAGGACGATGATCCCAAATATACATCAAAACTGGTTTTGGAATGGAAAAGCAGGCTAACATTAAACTCTGAAAAGACCTTCTGAAAGCCTCAACCTCAAGCATTCTGAAAATTTAAAGACTATGTTTAAAGGTTGGGTCCATGCTGGGAAACCAAACAAATTAAATGAAGTCTACCAACTCAACGAAGAAGACTGGTCAAATATATAATTTTTCTATATTTAAATTTTATTTATATAGCACTAAATCACAACATCAGTCGCTCAAGGTGCTTAAAAGCTCTTTAGAAGCTCACTGAGGGGAAAAAGTATCCAGTACTTCACAAAAAAATTAAAGCCCAACAAGTAAGAACTTTAGTTTTTCTCGTATCCGCTCCCGTTAATCTCGCGACCCATCCGATTTATCTCATGACCCCGCAGAGGGGAATCAGAGGACTGAAATACCAAAAGTCCCTTCTGAGCAGCTGAATACAGAGTACTGAAAGTGCTAGCATCACAGTTTCACTTCCTTTTTCTTTTTTGATAAGTAAGAAAAACACAAAATGCCTGCATTTTTTTTAGTGTCAACACTTAATAATTAAATCATTACATTTAATGAAAAATAAAACTGCATTTGCATCCACTACCCCAAAAATTCAGAAATAAATCTTCCAAGTCTGACACTAAAAGCTTTAATGTATGTTGAGAAAATAAAAATTCTAATTAAACAAAGGTCCAACCAACTTGAATTACACAGTTTTATTTCTGAGTACAGAAATGTGCTGAAGAGCAGTTATATAATCGGATTTCCATCTCACAGCGATGCCACTAAAAATTACTGAAAGCAAAGGAAGTTTCATGTGGACAGAAAACACTTTATTACAAACAGAAATCATATAAAATACACATCCTCCCGTTTAAAAAAAACGGAGCAGCTTGGTGCAAACACAAACAAGATAAAACAGAATAGTCAACACCCCCCTCCCCCAGAGAACTCACACGAGTGGCTTTGAAGCCAGTGAAATGTCAGAATCGGAGAACCGCACTTTAGAAGTAGCAACAACAAATCACTCTTGTTGTGTAGGCAGAGGCAGCCATGCAGGAACGCTCCCAAATATGAACACAGGGAGGGGAGGGAGGGGGAGGACGTGGGGCTGACAATGTTTTTTGTGGTTAAACTAAGTTGACAGGCATAAGAGGAGCTACTGCAGCATGAAACATCACCGAGCCAGAGGGTAAACAAAAAGAGATTAGGAGGAAACACAGGCGCAGGCTGTTTGAATACACTTGCATCACCTGTGGGGGCAAATTTACTGCAACTCTGACCCTCAGCTCACGCTGCTTCTCAATTTTTAGCGCCGAACCAACAGGATGTTTTGGGGGACTAAGTGCTGGTGTTTCATGCCATAAATTAAAAACCAATTTATGCAGTAGGGTAAACCTCGTGTTTCGTACTGCCACAGCCAGAGGTTTTTAATCTGGAGCAGCAGCCGACAGGTCGGGGATGTTCGTGTTTGGCCGAGCAGAAGTTTTGTTTTCTTCCTTGAAATAACTTCAAACTTCCTAAACCCGTTAGTTCTACATCAGCAGCTCGCAGAGGGATCAGAGCATGGATCGTCTCCAGATCAAACTGTTTACGGCGTCATAGCTTCAGCGGGATCACGGGCCAGTACTTGGGCTGCTTCAGGTCACAGTTTCTTTCGAAATTGAGTTGCATCGCCGCCTCCATGGCCATGATCTTGGCCGCATCCCCACCGTACAGCTTCTTCATCTCGGCCGTGCGTCTTTCGCCGGGTCGCTCCAAGGGAGGGGCGACACTGCTCCGCAACGAGAAGCTGTGTAGGTCCTGATCGGCCGGCACGTAGCTGCCCTGCTGCTCCGCCTCCATCTGCTGCTGCTTCTCTGCAAGAACGACAACACGGACCATTTTTGGACACATACCAGACAGGCTCCTCACCTTAGACTAAACATCTGGAGAGGCTGCGCTTTTAAAAAATTGACCTTTTAAAGCACCTGCTCCCCTTTGTTTACTTACTGAGCTCCTCCCTGTGTCGCTCAGTCTGGGCGAAGTACTGCCGGAGCTCCTCGCTGATCTCCATGTTGCTCACATCGCACTCAATCTCGCTTTCCGAGCTACTTTCCTCTGCATCGTCCGCCTCGTCTTCGCTGTTGCTCCAGTCAGCATAGCGAGGCCGGTCACCGGGCCCCTCCTCCTGGTAGCAGCAGGGGCCGTAGGCAGCCTCCAAGGCCTTTCTGTAGGCGCGCCTGTGCCTCTGATGCCACGCCATGGCCTGCCAATAGTGCTGCCAGTATCGGCTGTACACCGGGCTGGAAAACCAGGACATCACAGTGCTTATGTCCTCCTGCTGATGAGAAAGATGAGCAAAGGTCTTCTCAGCTTGATCATTTGAAAATGTCCTCTCTGAGTGATCGCAGTGATTAGCATGCAAGAACATGAGCTAAAGAGTGCTCCTGAAAAAGCCTCGTCTGTCAGTTGAGGGTAGAATAAGTGGCGTGATCCTACAAAATAAAAGCATTTCTACCTCAGTTTACTCACCATGACTGCAGACAGCTGCAACTTCTGAGACGTTCCTCTTTGTTAATGTTTCGTCATCGGTAAACCTGCAATTTATGAACAAAGTGGTTTACGAAGGCAAACCAGCCAACAGAGAGTAAAGTAAACACCGCAGGTGTTTGAGAAACTCTCATAAACACATTGCGGGTTAGCGAGGCGCGTGCTGACACCTGGCAAACAAAAATGGACGCTACGTACGTCACTTTTCACCCAGCAACACGCCAACGACACACTCCGACTTTTCACATCATTAATGTGTCAGTGTAAGCGTTGTGACCCGATAGATGCCTCGCATTATCAAACTCTTACCTCTGTGGAGCCAGCTACTTTAGCATCTCATCTTACTTCCTCGGAGAAAATTTCCCAGCAGCCTTTGAGTCCCTGCACAATAACTGCTGGCTATTTGGCGCCACCCAGTGGATCCTGTGCGAACATGCACCCACGTTCAACAGTTGGACGTCGCACGTGACAATAAAAACGCCGCTGCATATTACATTTATTGGTGAATTTATTCATTCTTTCCTTTTTATGCTAGTAAAACGGTAAGATTAGTTTATTTCGCTGGCTTTGAATTATTAGCTTTACACGAGAGACACTCGCTTTGCTGTTTTTATTAAATTACACATTTATTCATCTAATACAAAATCTCACTCCAACATTGTGAAACTCTAAGGTGTTTTGTCATGAAGTAAATAAGGTAAGTAAAGGAAATAATTTAGAGGTTTTTATTTGTTTTTGTTGATGTCATTTGCCCTTAAAAGCTGTTTGCGAGACCATGCCAGGCCTCAGGCCACATTTAACGCTTCTTTTATGCTTCAGCAGGTGCAGTGTGAAGGCCAAATCTACTTGAAGACAGTGCTTGTTGTCAGATGGAGGAAGTGTTCCTTGTGCTATTGTTGGTCTAACATGCAAAGTTATGAAATGAAACTGAGTGTTAACAACAATGCCCACTACAGCCACTGTACTTTCAGGTTTCTCCATCCCCCATAAACTCCACTTATACTTCTTTCCCTATTCTGGCCAACTTGTCAACCAATGAGCATCTGACTTGCAGATCATCCATGTACAGCGACATGCAATTGGGAGGCAGGTGGGTGAAAACACCTTTGAAATGCAAACGCCGATGAACAATGTTGACTATATAGTGTCCGTTCTTGCTCATAATACATCTGGCACAAACATTATTGTGACTTACTGTGCTGGACTGAAATAAAATGACCCAGCAGATGGTGCAGTTTCAAAACGGTTCACTGAAATTTATTCTGCTGCTTTTTTTCCTTTTTTTGTTTTCAGCCACAAAGACACACATCTTGTGTGTCTTTGTGCATGCATGTGACCCCAGCTCTGACAATGAAAATGATTAAACTAGTAGCATTAAATTGTCAGTCTCTTAAAATCCTTCTATTCTCTTCTGCTTATCCTTATCAGGGTCTCAGGGGGGCTGGAGCCTATCCCAGCTGCCACAGGTCGAGAAGCAGGGTACACTCTGGACTGACTGCCAGATGCAAAAAGATGGACAACCATTCGCACCTATGGGTTATTTAGAATCAACAATTCAACTAACCCCACTGAGTGCATGTCTGTGGATTGAGAGAAACCCACTCAAACATGGAGAGAACATGCACGCCACACAGAAAGGCCCCCATATTTTACGTTCTACTATAAATATAACACATACACAATAAATACACATTTATAGATCTTTCCTGTGCTCATGGGGGGCTCCAACCTGCTTATCAGTTTGCTTATGCTTCAGGGCCAGTTATGTTCACTAGGGACACACTTGAAATTCAGCCAGTTAAAGTACACTGTTGTCGCGGCCATATTGAGACAGAGGTCTTGCATGAAAGCGTGGCATTATAAGCTGTCAGCTAAGGGTTGCGGGTTGGTTAGTAACCTGCAGATGCAACTCATGTATTCAGCAAGCTAGCAAAATCCAAGGTGTTGCACATGATTTTTGATGGTGGTTAGTGGGGCTCTTCAACATGTGAGTCCATCAGGATTGACTTTTGGGGCTGCCGTTAGATAGACCAGTGTCTGCACTGGTACTGAATTATATGTAAGGACGCTTTGTGTGATTGTGCGGTTACAAAAGGACAAAATAGGCATTTATTATTTTTTCAAAGCGATAATAAATATTTTTCATTCTTCCATAAATTGCTTTTATTTTGAAAAGCAGTATTACGTACACTGAATTTATTTATGTGACGAGATGCAGCCTTTTAATTCACATTATGCACAAGGACATGCTGTTACATGCATGCAGGCAGAGCAGCAACACACCAAGTTAATTTTTCCATGAATTCATGAACTTTGCAATCAATAATGACTCAAGCAGTAACTTACAGTGGCTTGCAAAACTTTTCCACATTTTGTCACATTACAGCCACAAACATGAATCAATTTTATTGGAATTCCAGGTGAAAGACCAACACAAAGTGGTGCACACGTGAGAAGTGGAACGAGAATCAGACATGATTCCAAACATTTTTACAAATAAATAACTGCAAAGTGGGGTGTGCGTAATTATTCAGCCCCTGAGTCAATACTGTGTAGAACCAGCTTTTGCTGCAGTTCCAGCTGCCAGTCTTTTAGGGTCTGTCTCTACCAGCTTTGCACATCTACAGACTGAAATCTTTGCTCATTCTTCTTTGAAACAGCTCCAGCTCAGTCAGATTAGATGGGCAGCGTTTGTGAACAGCAGTTTTCAGATCTTGCCACTCCACTTCTCACGTGTGCACCACTTTGTGTTGGTCTTTCACCTGGAATTTCAATAACATTGATTCATGTTTGTGGCTGTAATGTGACAAAATGTGGGAAAGTTCAAGGGGGCCGAATACTTTTGCGAGCCACTGTATATACACATATCTATTTATTTATTAGAAAGAGTTTAATTTTCTATTTTTGTCAATAGTTAGATTTGCTTTCCTCGCATTTGAATGAATCACGATATCATTTCGTTGTGCTTTTGTCTTAATGACAATAAAAGATTCTGATTTAAAATTTAAAAACCGGTTTGGAGTAATTTGAATGAACTTAAATATGATTTGGAAATAAAGATTTGATCGCAGAGTTGTAGAAATGCCACACGTGACCTTATACAAGCGAGGACGCTGTCATATTTGAGTAAGGGGGTGTAAAAGCCAAAGAGAGTGTTTGAGTGCTGCTGAGATGTCTGACTGTATAAGTGGGTCATGCATTGGCTTCAGGCTTCAAAGCTTGCAGAGGAAATGCAAAAAGACAGATGTGTCTTTTCAGTGTTGTTCACATGGATGTGTTAACAGAACAAGCAAAAAGAATAATAAGTACTTCATTTTCTATTTCGGTGGTTCTGGATATCATCAAATATGTTGTCAACGCTTCCTTAAATATCACCCCATGCTGCTGACTGAGTGATAATACCTCGTGAATCGCACAGAAGAGGATTAGTAGTTTGGATTATTATTTTATCATTCAACAACTGGATTAATTTCATTGCCTCATCCCCAAAGTGTCAAAAGTCGACACAATTAATGAGAACTTAATTGTGTCCACTGATGCATAATTTATGTTCCGATATCTGTAGTGTTTGTAATCATATCTGCGATTGCCTTTTCTTCTCCTTCTGCTGGCAGGTCTCAGAGATAATTGTTTATGTGTCACCCACAACAATGTATAGAACAAGGCTGAAGCTGGTCAGGCAGCATCTGTTATACTTGATTGTGAGCTTTGCTTTCCCCCTTTTTTCTTTTTTGGTTGCATTTCTCAGATGAAAAAGAAAAGCCATTATCAGACAGCGATCTAACCAGCATTACTAACAAACAAGAGCAAACGGCACAAAGAGCAGGCCACAAAAACCCACACCTGAAACTATGAGAGGCTCCTGAAGCTGCGGTTTTGTTCTTATTTTGCTTTCTTCCTATGAAGTTCTTGTAAGCTTCGTATGTTTTGGAGTATTACCGCCCCCTCCTTATGTGCACATAGCCTTGCCTTTGCTAAAGCATCTTGCATCTTGGAACAATGGACTATCATTGCCACTGTCTGTGTAGGAGGGGGTCTCGCTCTGGGGTGCTATCTGTTGCATCCTGTTAAAAAGGCTCATGACTTGTTTGCTTTCAGCTGATGGTGCAGCTGTTATGATACAAACGCCTCCATCAAAACATCTGTTGTAACCTGACCATTATTCACTGCGAGCCTTATAGTCCATGCTGCTCTATTTTTATTAGGTACATGTTCAACTGCTCATTTATGCAAGTAGCTAATCAGCAAATAACATTTAGGCATGTAGACACGATCTAGATGACCTGCTGAAGTCCACACTGAGCATCAAAATGGTAAAGAAAGACGATCTAAGTGATTTTGAACTTGGCATGATT